ACTCACAGACTGTGTTTTTCAGGTGGTCGAAAAAGGAAGAGGTCAGCAGATGGGGAGAGAACCTCTGAGGAAAACTCCAATTTAACACCTCTGATCACATGACCAGACAAAGAGCATTTGCTGGATGTGTGAGATTCCAGGGCTTTGGGGGAAGGCCGGCCCTGCCCATCATCTGCTTCCCCCAGGGCCTCCCGCAGGTGACAGAACATTTCTGCTTTCCTTTCCACCTCTTCACCCCTAGCTGGTTTTTTTGTTTGTTTTTTTTTTTTGGCAGATTTTTTCCTTGTTGCCTCCAGTTTGACTCAGAGCCTTGACAGAAGAAGGTGCCTCTAATGGAACATGCTAGAAATGGTCTTGTCCATAGCACAGTCTGGGAGATGACCTCCAAGCTGACAATGCCACTCTGGGACCCCTGACATTCTTCTTTGTTCTTTGGGATCCCCTGTGCCATAGAAGACCCATGTCTTGGGGTTCACCATTCTTTCCTCCAGAAAAAAATGATAACTTCGTGCCATGTCTCATGCTTAGCTTAACTCAGAAGGTGCCACTGGCAGATAGGCACATAGGAGGCTGGAGTAGCAGGTATGAAGATTAGTTCAGGGAATGGACCAAGAATTTCTCCAGAACTTTGGAGAATGGGACTGAGCTGTGTTGGGCTGTGATTAATGTTACAGCACAGAAAATTGTCAGTGACTGTTCCTATTAGATAGCAGCTTCACAGCCTGGAGACAAAGTGTCTCAGCTGGACTGGAAAGAATGTAAGATGGAATCTCAAGTCACTGTTTTTCCCAGGGACACATCTGTTTTGGCTCTCAATCCACAGGCATTAATCGATCAATGAATCTGCTCTGGAAGAGGGGGAGCAGTGAATGGAGAAAGCCAATTGGGAGCCAGAGATGGAATTTCAGGTTTTAAGTGAAAAAAAGAAAAACGAAACAGAAAACTTATATGGAAAAGCTCTAAGCTATTAAAGCAAGTTTAGCCATGACAAACCAAAGAGTGCCCAGGTCAGCCAAGAAGGATGTATGTGCGCATGGGACTTCAGTGTGCATTACACAGGAATGTTGAAAAATCACTTTTCTTCTTCATCCATTTCCCCCACCCCTTACTAAACACCGGCAGGTCAGTTAAGTGTGCTTTATTCCGAGAACTTAACTACACCTGGGTTTTCTCCTGAATGTTGGGGCACATGCAGTTCTAAGGAGAACCACAAGGTGGAAGAATGACTGCACATACCCACTTCCAAGTTGTGATCAGGAACCACCACAAGCTTAGGAAAATCTTGGAAGTAAGTGCAGTTTGTCTGTGGGACACCTGTCTGCCTTTCCAATCTATTTCCCACCCATTGGAAAGCCCTCAGTTAGGGCCCAATGATCTTGTGCTGCCTGATGAATATTCAAACCATTCCCAAGCATTTCCCTGTTGCACACCATTCAAGCCTCCCTCCCCTTTCTCCAAACCACCACTCCCTCTCCACACCCAGTCAATCAGTTTCCTGGGAAGTAGGAGACCAGCAATTCCTCTGGGTTATTTGCATCTCAAAGGAAAATGCTTACCCACAGGAACCTTTGACTCAGGAGTTCTTAACCTGGGGTCCATCACCCCAGGGGGGTCCATTGCTGGACTTCAGAAGGTTCCTGAAACCTTCAGAAGGTCTTAAAACTGTCAGAATTTAGTGTATGTGTTTTCCAGAGAGTTGAAAGTTTTCATAAGCTTAAACTTCTCAAAGTTCTCAGACCCACAAGGGTTAAAAAATAAAAATTAAAAAACTATTTTCAATAGTGGAACTTTCAGCCCAGCTTTTCTGCAATGCAGAGTGAATACTGGGCAGTTCATTTTTAATTATAAGTGGTCTTCTCCAGTGTCCCTCAATTGATGGGAAAGGCTGGCATCTACCAAGAAGCAAGAGTCCTCAAAAATTCACACCCTAAAGTATTATACAACCTCCATCCCACATAACTTTGGCCTATCACCCCCACCAAACCAGAACAGGTATTGCAGACCAGAGGACCACAGCATGTGGGAGTAAAGAATTGAGCTGGAGTTGCCTCTTCCAGCAAAGCATTATTGACTTTGACACACCCCTTGCCTGGCCTGGCCTGGCTGGAGGCTCAGCATGCATGTGTTCTCTTGCTAACTCCACAGCCACCTACTCCTCACCTGCTCTTGCCTGGTTGGAACAGAGAGGGTAAGCCCTCAGTGCTGCCTCAGACCCAGACTGTTTATAGTGAGTTTTGAGCAAGAACTGCCATCCTGCAGTCTTCTTGCCCAGCTGGCCAGACTTCCACCAGGCTCAGCCCACTCCTGTTGCATTGTACCTATCCCTTGGCAGAACCCCTGAGGAGCTTGTCACCACTTCTCTCCCTATCCCCACCCCCAAGTATTTTCTTCAGGTTAAAAAAAAAAAAGATTTTAAAATAAAGCATTTATGAAGGCTCAATAAATTGTAAATAATTTTTAAATAAAATGAAAATGCATTTCCTGGAATGTGGCTGTTTTCTTTGCCCCTGGAAGTGGAGTTCAAAGTGGCTTCACTTGAGCTGCAGGTTGGATGGTGCACAAGTGTAACTAACTCCACCTCTGGCTACCTGCTGACAAGGGTACCTCTCAAGGCCAGGAGTGAGGCTGAGGAAGGTCACTGGGAAGCCCTGGTGCTCTACTCTGAGAAGCAGGTAGATGATTTTGCAGGAGCAAATGGTAGATAGAGGAAGTAAAACCCAGACAAGAAAGGAGCACTAAAAGGATGAGGAGAGCTGGCATGTGGTGGTGAGGCACTGTGGTGGGAGCTCTCCAAATTCAAGGTCCTGGGTGCGGATGCAGACCTCCAGGCTATGCACTGGTCATCCTGGCTTGCCTCTGCAGACCCTTCAGGAAGGAGTCAAAGTGGCACAACTCCAGCCATTTCCAGCCCAAGGCTGGAGGAAGGACCAGGGGAGCAGCGGGCCAGACCTGTCAGTGAGTTGTAAACCAGTGCAGGAAAGCAAACGGCCAAATGAGATGTCCCTGGGCATTGAATGGAAAGCTGAGATCTGTTCATTTCTTCAACCAGCAAACAAGACAATGAATGACCTGTGCCCGAACAAGCTTGGCCTACGCCGGGAACCTTGATGAAGGCTCTTCATTTTATTAACAGTAATGATGAATTACAGTATCAACTATTTTACTTTGGGCTTTAGGTATCCATTGCCTCACTTCTTTCTCCACGGTGTTCCTGAGAGATTGGATGACTCATAGGTCTGAGCGCCCTGCTCATGTACAGGGACCATCTGCTTAGTAGTCCTGCCTCTGACCTTCACCACACACAGCCCTGAGAAGTCCCGCAGCTTTCCCCAGACTTACACAGAGCCCTGGACATAGTGGGGATACACTGACCAAAATATAGGTTAGAATTAAGAAAGCCAAAGTCCCATTGAGACTGGGCTTTTAAAAAATTTTTTAAATAATAACATTTTAGTGCTTTGGTACGGACACTTAGGCTTAAAGCAGTTTCTTAATGATTTTTAATGATTTGAGCAAGAGAAATTAAACACTAAGATTTGGTTGGATAGGACTATATTCTGGAGGGCCACAGATGATTTTAATATCAACTTTCCTTGCTCCCAAGAACCAAGTTCTGCCTGTTTACTGTCATCCTCATGCAGGATGGGTTAAAGCCACATTTGGGGAAAATGATAGAAGACTGACAGAAGGTAGACTCATTCAACTTCTATTTTGGCTCCTTCCCCTACAAATGATAAGCATCTTTAAAATGGAAGAACAAATGTTGGTAAAAGGGAAATGAGAACTGAACGCACGAAGATGACAGCATCTGATCACTTTCAGTCCATCCATATCCCCAGGCCAGTCACACACCTGCAGGGTGATGCCAGGCAGATGCTGAAGGATCCAGAAACTATAGCCTGTTGAGAAACACTGAAGAATGAGGGGAGAGGGGGCTCATGTGGAAAAGCAGAAACAAGGAATGAGTGCTTTCACATACTTGAAACGTCATCCATTACACATGTCAGTAGACTCACTGTGGTTAAAAGCAGGGGAATAGGACAAATATAAATCAAATTCTGGTTCAAGGCAAAAGATCCTTTTAACCAAGGACTCCATCAACAGAAGAGGATGCCTCACCAAGTATGGAAGGAATCCATCCCCCCAGGTGGAATGATGAGTCAGGGACAATACAGAAAAGAATATTTCACAGGGGGACAAAGGCTAGACTTGGTGACTCCTAAAATATCAACCACCCTTCAAGGCTAGGAATTTATAACTCATAGGAGCCCTAGAAAGGAACAGATCCTATTAAAATACTATTTTGAAACTCCTAAGTACTAAACCTCTTAAGAAACAACCCCACCAAATTCTACAAAACCACCAGTTGGAGATTTCTGGCACATGGAAATTGTGATCTATGTTCAACTGGCTGTAATCCTTCTGATAGAGCAGATAATCCTTCCAACTTCAATAGAAGGGGCTAGTATTCTAGAATCACCCAGAGTGAAGCTATCCTTCCCATGAGTCAGTCCATGAAGTCCAACTTCTTAATACAAGAAGACAGCTGGCTTCTGAAGGACGAGCCCACAAAACTGACGCACTTTTTTTTTTTTAATTTGGTCTTTTTAGTTATACATGACAGTAGAATGTATTTTGACATATCAGATATACATGAAATATAACTTCTTATCTTAGTGGTCGTACATGATGCCAACACAGACTTTTGAGGATAAGGTGATTTCACTAAAGGGATTTGTTTAAAATTTCTTTGTAGTTGTAGATGAACAGCATGCCTTTATTTTGTTTATTTTTATGAGGTGCTAAGGATCGAACCCAGTGACTCACATGTACTAGGCAAATGCTCTGCCACTGAGCTATATAGCTCCAGCCCCAAAAGGGACTTGTATTTTGAAAATACATTTTCGTTTTTCCATTAGCCATTAGTGAATCCCTCTAAAGTCTTCATTTTCAACTGTGCATCACAACCCATTAATGGATCACAAAATCAATTCCATGGGTCTTGATCAGCATTTTTATTTTTCCAATGAAACAGAACACAATTGAATAGAATAGAAAAATCTTAGAATACACTACACATGGCAAGGGTTGATACTGTGTCGTGAAACTTTTTTCAATTAAGCGCAAGTGTGTTTCTGTGTCATGATGTAAATACATTTCTTTCCACAGTCATCCTACGGAACTAGTTGCAGACTAGCAACACGACCATGCAGAAGGAGCAGGGAGACAAGACACAGGGTGGAGATGATGAGTTTTAATGCCACAGCCATCAATCACACATGGCTCCTTCAGACAACATGTTCTTTTGGGACTAGACTTTGTTCAGAGTCAGATAACACGCAGCAGAAGCACACAAACAGCACTCCCGCTTCTAGCAAGGGGGCAAGGTACCTACGTCTCATGATCAAAATATTTATTCTTAAATAAAAACCTTAATTTTCTCTGGCCTTCAAAAGGTTCTAATCTCAAGCCCCTAATTATTTTCAAGGACATTCTGTTCACGTGGGGCCAACCTAAATAGAGGTGGCTTCACCAGGGCAACCTTTCAGTTCTTCAGTCATCTCTAATCCATGATATGTACAACTAGGTTTGCGCAGGCAGGGAACACACGTGACACAGCAGCTTTGGTGGTGTGGACTGGATGGTGTTTCTTCACTGGATTTTGGWAACTGCTTCATGGATGGAGGTAGCCACATAATCTATATTTTTGGTGGTTAAGCCGCACATGTTGATCCGACCACTTGGCAGTAGATAAATGTGCTTCTCGTTGATTAGATACTCAACCTGCTTGGCTGTTGAGAACCAAAAGAAGACAGAATCAGAGTCATAGGGATCATTACCCAGTGTAGGTTTGGTAACTATAGGACAATTTTCCTTCTTTGCTCTTAACGTAAAGAAGCAAGACAAAAGGAGCTATTCTGTCCAAATCACAAACAAAAATATACTTGCCAGATTCTGGAAAGCACTCCTATTAGTTGACTTCCTAGTCCCCAGAAAGTTCAACATGATTACTATTGATGGCATTTTAACCTGGAACTACACCACCAAACATCCACCAAGCCCCCATAAACTAAAACAACAACCAGACTTAAAAATACTCTGCTGACGTGAAAAACTGGTTATACGGTGCTCCCTTTACCACTTCCCCAACCTGCTGGCTGCTCCTGGGCACCTAGCAGCAACTTCTCTTTGACATTTCATTTTTACAGTACGTTAGACAAGGCACCATGCATTGGGTACTTGATAAATGCTGTGTGGAGGAACCAATAAGCCGGAAAGCTACACCTCTGGCACCCCCAGCTCCTCATTTCTCAGCCCTTCCTCTCAGATGCAGAAGGGGGTTCCATTTTGTAGAAATGCCACATGTGTGAAATAGGAAGGGACAGCCTTGATGCTATGATGCCTTAGAATGGTTTTCCTTTATTGCAGATCCATGATAGAAACCCTAGCCATTTTGCCTAATTAGCACATTGAAGACACCACCAATCTGAGTGAAGAGGGTAATAATAACAAAATCATAATATAATCAAAAGGGCAAATACTATATGTGCTAGGCAGTTTCTAGGCACTTCAACTCTGATAACTTTGTCATCCCCATTTTATAGATGAGGCACAGAGAAGTTAAATGTTCTTCTCAAGGCAGCTGGTAAGTGTGGATGTGTGACTTTAAGGCTGAGTCTGGGCTCTCCGCTGCCTCTCTGAAGAAGACGAATCATGGACTCTGGACTCAGTGCTGCCACATGCCCCTCCAAACGAACAAACAAAGCAAGCTTCAGAAGTCATCCGACTGACTTTAACCGTGTGAATGATAGTCATCCAAGGAGATAAAGCCAAACCTCAGGGCCAAGAGAGCCACAGGCTTACCCCTGTTTATAAAACCAGAGCCCTGGAGGCAGGTGTTGTTACAGGGCTCCTCCCATCCTGGTTTGTTTGTTTTCTTCTTCTTCTTAATAAAAATGTGAGAAGTTGATAAATAGTAATAAGCTCTTTCCCCCCCAAAAATAGCCAATATCCACCCATGCAATTTGGATACTGTAGTTCCAGGGGCTTCACAGATCTCCTAAAGTACATCCACAGACTAGGTGCAAAGCCCTGTTCTGACAGGTGAAGGGTAACAGAGGAAGTATACCATGAGAACTGCAGAAACTGGGGTGGGCACATGGGGACTATACAAGTCCTCCAATTTTTCTGTATGTTTTCCTAATAAAAGATTGGGAAGAGAAGGAGGGGGAAAATGCTGTTTTTGTAAAAGGACAAATGATGTCAAGAAGTGCCAACCATTTAACTTCAATGTTATCAGCACAGGTCTATTCTCATCACCTCTCAATTCATGACAAAACTAGTTTCCAATCCTGGACAGCAGGAGGACAAGGCTGTTTTGTGGGGAGACATCCCCATCATGTGAACTTTTAGAATATTACTACTAAAGACCATTTCTATTAACACTTGATATTTTTACAATTATATAAAGATGGCTTTTCTTATTCTAGTGAACTAATTCTAAATTCCACAGTCCCAGGGACACATACAATTAAGTTATTTCTTTTACTTTCTTGAATAGCCTTATTTTACCCAAAGTATTCTGAGGGGTCTACAATATAATCTCTTACCACCTCTCTAATTTATATTTATTTCCTTTGGCTTTTTCTGAGCCTGTTTCAAACTGCCACTTGCTATCATACCTCCTGGCACCTTTGATGCTCCACCTCTAGCCCAAACCAGTGCACATCCCTTGTACAGTCCCCAGGACACCGGTAAGTGGCCACATCTGCATCATTCAACTGGTGGCTTGACCAGTAGGTACTCAGTATCACTTAATTAAATACATGAATCCTCAGAAGGAACTGCTGCTCACTGATACACCCTACTGATGGCTGATCAAAATCATGCATGTTTACCTACAAGATTTGCAATCAGCTATTAATTTCAACTATTTATAATCTAAATTCTTATTTATTTATGAAATAAAAAAACAACTTTCTTACTTCTTTTTTTTTTTTTTTCTTTGATATGGGATCTCACTATGTTGCCCAGGTTAGTCTCAAAACTTGTGGACTCAAGTGTTACACCCACCTCAGCTTCCTGAGTAGCTGGGACCAGAGGTGCATACCATAGCCCCCAGCTTATAAACCTCTTGAGAGAAATGCCTGGCGGTCAGGAAAGACCTGTTAAGAAGTTAGGCCCCTGAATGCTATAGTTTGGATGCAGAATGTCTCCCAAAGGCCCATATGGTCAAAGTTTAGTCCGCAGCTTGGCATTGTTGGGAGATGGTAGAAATTTTAAGAGGTAGGAAATAGTGGGAAGTCTTCTGGACACTGGAGACATGCCCTTGAAGAGGACTTGAAGGGACCCTGGTCTCTTCCTTTGTCTCTTTCAAATCCTGGTTATGAGGTAAGTGGTTTTTCTCCACCACATTTCCCGCCATGATGTGCTGTCTTACCACAGGCCTGAAAGCAACAGGGCCAACTGACCACAGACTAAAACCCCCAAAGCTGTGAGCTAAAATAAACTTCTTCTCTTCATAAACTGACTGTCTCAGTATTTGTTACAGTAACAGAAGGATGAATAATTATATGTAATATTTATACTTAGGATTAAGGTAAAGCCAAAAATTACCTGAAGATTTATAAGAAACCTTTCATAAAGCAAGTCTCTAAGCTACAAGTCCTGTTACTTCCCAGCTGGCTCTGAGCCTCTTCTCAGCCCACAGTAATGAAAATATCTTGGTTATGGATCAGTACAACAGACCACAACAATGCTCTTCTGAGTCCCAAGGGATTCAGGAGATGGTGAGACACACTGAGGAAACCTAACTTGTCCTGGCCCAAAGCACTGACAGACCAATTGGGTAACAGCTAACAGAGGTGAGTTCCTGACTGGTAACTAAGAGGAGTGCTGCATCTACACGCACACATGCGTGCTCCAAGCAGTAGGCACCACTTACGGTTCAACCCAGTGAAGCTGAACATGCCAATCTGCTCAGTGATRTGAGTCCAGGTCCCAGGAGTCTTAAGGGCTTCTAATCGGGCCCTGAGTTCAGATCGCATGGTCAGAATCCGGTCAGCCATTGTCTTCACATTGCCTGTCCTGAAGTGTAGACAGTGATATAAACATCAATCAAGGGGAGATAGTACATGAAAACACAAAGGTTAAAAAACTGTAATTTAAGCTATAAGCAGAAAGTGGTATCACAACCTGCCTAATATAGTATGTTAGCCCTGGATGGGCAAATAAGCAGACCAGAGTGATAGACTTAGCAGGCAGAAGACAAGGACTGTATATACTGACGGAGTCTAGTGCTAGACATAAGTACACGGCTGTAATGCCACTAATGTTTCAACTCAGCCTTCAGTGAGATGCTGATATATTTAGAATAAGATAGTTTATCAGACCTAATTAAGTAGAGATTGCAGATTTGGTCTACAAAAAATAACTCTGCTTTAAAATAAGATAAAGTACAGAGGCCTCTCCACTCCCCATCCAGGGATTGTTATCCATGGTCAATAACAGTCTGAAACTATTAAATGTGACATTCTAGAACTAATTCATAAGTTGTAAAAAACCTTTATTACCATTGTTTTAATTGTTCTATTTTATTATTAGTTATTATCATTAATCTTTCACTATGCCTAATTTATAAATTAGACTAAATCACAGGCATGTATGTCAGGAAAAACAGCACAGACAGGGTTTGGTGCTATCTGTGGTTGCAAGCATCCACTAGGCTAAGAGGGGGGAACGACTGTATATGCGAATTACAGATAAGAATGAGGAACCCCCAAATTGGCAGACTTCCTGAAGTTTGGTATTTTATCCAATCAGGAATTCTATCCTGTGTTTTCCAACTTTAAGGAGAAGACAGGGTGGCAGAGAAGTGGGGAAACTGCCATTTATTGAATGCCTCCTCCTCCTCTGCTGCAGATGTTGTGTTGCACACGTGTGAATAGGGATAAGCCCTACTTTACAAAATATCTGAGATTCAAAGAGGTAATTGCGTCCCGGCTCTGCCAAACTAAAAGGAAGAGACCTAGTTAGATGTAAGACAGTTAATTTCTGCCTTCCACCCTTGCCCATCAGGCTTTGAGCCCCTTACCATTCTTTAAAGAGTTCAGGGTTAGAAAGGGTAGWGGCCACAATTCGTGCTCCCTGAGCAGGGGGATTGGACCATGTAATCCGCACAATCTTCTCCRTCTGGGAAAGCACTCGCAGGATGCTCTCAGATTCTTTTCCAACCACGGTCAGATTACCCACTCGCTCATCTAAAGAGAGAGTGGGCGAGAATCAGGCTTGGCTGCTGTTGGGGGCAGGAAGGGGAAGTAGGACTACAACGCTGGAGAGCACTCACTGTAGAGCCCGAAGTTCTTGGAGAAGGACTGGGCACAGAAGAGCTCGAAGCCTTCAGACACAAAATAGCGAATGGCCCAGGCGTCTTTCTCTAGATCTCCAGATGCAAAGCCCTGATAGGCTGAGTCAAAGAAGGGGAACAGAAACCGGCGCTGCGAGGAAGGAAAGCAAGTCAAGGCAGGAAATCCTTCTGGAACCAACCTCAGACATGGGCCTTCCTTTCTCAACTGGTGCCTGGAAGGAATTTCTGACCCTTAACCTTTCTCCTATTTATTGTCTATATGCACTCAACCCCCACTGTTTTATATCTGTTCCTCTGTTCAGCTAAACACCAACCAATAAACATCACGATTTCAGTAAACTTCACTTTTTAACAGTATACCATTCTGAAATGTTAAGATGCAGCTTTGTAAACAAGGCTTATTTTTGAGGTGTGGAGGTACTCTCCTATGTTAATGGATTCTTCTCCATGAATTCCTGGGGTTAAGTAAGGCTCAGCATCCCCAGGGCTGCATCAACCTCAGGGCTACGCTAACAGGTACTCAGGATGAAACAAGCAGACTGGTCTCTACCTTAAGCACCCTTATTGCCTCAAAGAGCTCCCAACGCTGAACCTGCTCCTACTGTTAGCTGCACTCTCTGAGTGGACACCATTTCCCTCCTCCAAAATGTCCAAATCAGAGACCAGGGTGTTTCTTGACTCTGACCTCTGCAGCTCGACCCCACATCCAACCACACCCCAAGTCCACTCCATCCTGCTTCTTGAGAGCTCAAGGACCTTTTGCATCTCATTATCCCCACTGCTACCTACGTTCAGGTCACCATCTTTTACCTGGATTGTGACAGTAGCTTCCTAATCTCTTTGGCCCATCTAATGTTGCCTCCCTCTGATCCATTTCCTGCTGTATAGTCAGGGTGACTTAAGACAATGATGGGCATTCACAGTAGACATCGCAGATCTTAGTGGCTCACTGCTGGCCTCAGAATGAAGTCCAAGCCTTCAGCACAGGGAAAGGCCTAACTTACTCTCCAGCTGCATCACTTGTGCTCCCCTACGTCCCCAGGACTTTAGACCATAACAAGAATGGTCACTTCCTTAAATAGGCCATGATCTCTGCCTCGGGTTTCTGACCATGGTCTGCCCTCTGCTCCTGCAAGCCCCTACCTACCAATGCCTTGTTAATTCCTTCCCTCCCAAGACTCACATGGAGACTCCGCCACCACCAGTACCACCTCCATACAATGCCCAGAATTTGGGCTCTTTACCACATTAACCCAGCATCTCACAGTATTGAAGCTGCCCTAGAACTCATCAGTCTCCTCAGGTAGGCTATGTGCTTTTTGACAGCTGGGAACATTTCTGTTTTGTTCACTACTATATCCCCATGGTACCCAGCTACCTAACAGTTCCTCAATAAGCATTCTATAAGTACATTAATGGAGAACATACACACTTTGAGCTAGAAATTCCAATTTAGAAAGTTATCTCAAATAAATAAAAAGAAGTTTTATTACATTATTATTCATAAGACCAAGAAATCTGAAATGAAACTAAATGTCCATCCCTTAAATGGACCCATTTACCCAATCCCTAAGACAACATATCCATGAAAGCTATGAAAAATAATGCTGCAAAAACATTAAATGGAATATAAATATAGAATTTCAAGTGAAAAACAAAGTGTGTTACAAAACATTACAGGCAAATGATCCCACCTGTAAAACACACACAAAGTCTGGCATTCCACTACAAAAACATTAATACTAACTTTTTTTGAGTAACAGAATTTACAATTAATATTTATCATCTTCTTTGAAATTTTCTCCATTTTCCAAATTCTTCAGTAAACAGATTTTGCTTTTGAATACATTCAATTATATATGCTTTTTTTTTAAAAGAGATGCTCTGCAGGAGGAGTTTACCTTCATGACAGAAGCGATCTGCTTCCACTGCTCTGGAGTTGGGTCAGTCCCAGTTGGGTTGTGTGCACAGGCATGGAGGACAAAGATGGAGAACTCGGGAGCATTCTGAGGAAAAGGAAGCTACATCAGCTTTGGCACTAGCAGTGAGATCAGGAGACACAGCAATGAAGAGCAAAAGGCAATCATATCCCTATGCATGGTTTTCTTTTGAGCAATCCCTCTCTTACATGCTCTTTTAGAATCTACTATCTGGTTTGGGGACAATGCCTCAGATTCTCACTTATCATTCCATCCAAAGATTTTCCCCACTATACCTGACACCAAGAATTTTCTTTAATTTTTGTTCTAAATCACCCACCTCTAGATCATTCAGGAAACCCTGGAGGTCAAGTCCTCTCTTCTCTGCATCCCAGTAGTGATAAGATCGAATGTCTTTAAAACCAGCAGCAGAAAATACAGCATTATGGTTCTCTGCAGGCAAAGGGGTAAAATGTTAAGTGCTTTCACAAACACTAGGAGACATAATTAGAAAAAATACAAATCAGCTTCCAGAGCCCTCCCAGGCTCATGCTCACTTGGCATCATGGAGAGTAGGCATTAAGACATAAATGATTGTAAACAAGAACAAGTTCAACCAGTTACATGAATGCCAAACTTATATCATTTACATCTGTATTTTATGCCTCCTCTAGGAAGTTTCAACATAGACTAAAATACAAGTCTACCAAGAGTCTTGGGAAAAAGTGTCCCTAATCTGAATTTGAGCTTTCCAGGTTTCTCAAGTCCTATCATAATCCATTGCTCAACTACTCCCAAGTCAGCTATTCCAGGGCTGGATTATGATTTCTCTGTAACCAGTGAACATCAGGAGGATAATTCTCTCTGGCTTCTCAGCTTCTCCTCTTAACCACAACTAAAAGACTCACCCCAGGTTGGGGACGATACATAGACAGGTGTATCCTTGTTGTTCGTTCCATTGTACCATCGAGCTAAGAAMTCAGCTCCAATTCGAAGTGCACCTGTTCCCCCCAAAGACTGGACACCTCCCACCTGAAAAAAAAAAAGCAGATAATGGTGAGGTCAAATAATATTAGCAAAATAAGGTAATGATAAGCACTTATAATTAAATTAATCCTTTAATTATATTGTCTCATCAAAACCTCACAACAGGGGGCTGGGAATGTAGCACAGTGGTAGAGCAACCACCTAGCATGTGTGAGGCCCTGGGTCAAATCCCCCGAATGGCAGGTGGGGGCAGATAAAACAAAATTTCATAACTACTATTTGAAGGTCCTTTTATTTGCCTGTGTTTGCAAATAAGGAAATTTGAGGCTAAAAGAGATGGAACACCTTGCGCAAAGGCACCAGCTACTGAGCAGAATGACCATGTCTTTTACACAGAGGTCTGACTCTAGGAGGGAGCTTCCCTTCTGAACACAGAGGTTAAGGGCAGATTTAAGCCATGCTACTGCATGCCTTGGATGGCAAACCCTATGTCTTCAGCACCCATCTCAAGATCAAGATCCCTCCAGCAGAAGCCTGTAAAACAGTGTTTCTAGCTGCCACTGACATAGTCTGTAATACTCCCTCTCATGTCTAGGACTCAGGCTTATGAATCCATAGAGATATGTTCTAACAAAACAAAGGCCCTATGTGAATGCTACTTTCCTCTCTTTAGCTTCTCTCATCTTAAAAGTGACCTAATATGGACAATAATAAAAGCCCTGTTTTACCATTATTAAATGTTTTTGCAGGCATTTACATTTAATCCTCACACACCCTGTATATTCTATATCCCATTTAAACATAAGGACTGATCCAAAGAAATGGTTTACCAAAGGATACACAGGTGGTGAGTGGCAGGACTGAGAATAAATCCAGGTCTTCCCACCCACCCCCCACATCTGGTCACTATATCCTGTGTATGTCATTCTGCCTATCTATCTTTTAATTCTGCCCCTTTAAAATTCTCATTTTCAGGATAATTCTCTCAGTAGACAAATATTATAAATGACATGTTACCTAATGTATCTGAGAATAAGGAGAAAGGAAAAGATCCTATGAAAACATTTAAATAAGAGGGGTACATACCAATCTTCTAATAGGGGAAACTCTTAAGAGGGGTCTAGGATGTAGGAAGAGTAGTCAAATCTATAAATTTTTCTTTTTAATGAGAAGAATATGTGCAAGTATTATTTGTAAAATTTTACAGTAATTTTTAAAACCATTCATTCTGGAACTTGCTGTAAAATAATCCAGCTTTGACAGTGGGTCAGTCTTATACAAGAATGATGCATACAAATGACGTTGAAGCTAGGTGAGAGACACATGGGATTTGTTTATTACACTGTTTTTCTTACTTTCACAAGAAAAAAATTTGAATTTTTACATAATAAAAAGGTTTTTAAAAATCTTCCTAGAGAAGCTTCTCAAGTCTTTTTGAAAACCTAACATTGATGTCAAAAGTTGACAAAGGCAAAAAGTGAGAGACCAGGCTCCTTATGTTTAACCCCACCTTCTGCCTAATCCAGAAAGTAAATTCATTAAAAGCCAGAAAGTCAGTAGACAAGATTGAAAAAGTGCTTGAAACAGATACTCCACTAACATGTATTACTCCTTGACATTTATAACATATATGACATATGAAATACCAAATTCTCAAAAAAATTCTCATTCCCTAAAAATGTATTAAACACTGGATAGTTTCAGCAAAATACAAGTTGCTCTAAATGTCAGCAATTAACAGAAACAAGTTTGGGATCAGTAATGCAGCAATTTGGTCATTCTAGGAACTAATTTTGACAAATTAATCTAGAGCCCAACAAAGTCCTAAAATCATTAATATCAAAGTAAATAAGTCCAGACTTCTCCACTGGAACTGAATGGCTAAAGAGGAGTATCCAGAACAAGGGAAATCCAGTCAGATTTCCTGGTGTGAAGCCAGCTAAGGCAGGACTTTGTGTTTACTACACACAGTACAGAACTGCTGGACTCTAGAACCTTTTCTGAATCACAATTTGCTGATGTTATGACTTCACTGTGGGAGCTGACCGGAGTTACTCATGGCCAAGGCTATGCTGTGTTCATCTGGGTGCCTGTGGCAGTTTCTGGTATATGGTACTACATAAACATGTGCTCACCTAGCTGAAGAAAGGTGATGTGGAATGGAACCACAGCAAGGCCCAGGTCTCCCAGAGGCAATGGTCAAAGCAAGAGACTGGCCTGTCATTACATGACAAGGATTTATGGCCCATGAGCCCTACAATGGCTACCTACAATGGCTCCAAAACTTCAGAACCTGAAAATGACTAGGTGAGAGATGAAGAATGGAAACTTCATCTAGATCCCAAAGTCTGAAAATGGGAAAGTATAAGAAGCAGTGAGCAATCTAGAAAATAGGTCTCCTCAAAATGGATAAAGGACCTGGTAATGTTAAAACCTTGAGAAGAATGATCTAAGGGAAGACATCATTATTGTTTGTCTTCTGGTTCATTTATTCTTTATGCCTCCTCTCCAAGTTTTGGCTCAAATATCATTTGTATTTCTATCCTGAACCACCGTAGTTAAAACTGAATCCACTCTTATTCCCACATATCCCAATCCTGATTCTCTTAATAGCATTTTCATTTTAATATAATAGATCACTTTGTTGTGTTTATAGCCTGTCTCCATAAAACTAAGAGCAGGAGCAGGGGATTCTGTGTGTTGATCTCTACTAGGCTCACTATAGAATCTAGCAGAGAGCCCGGCTCTTGTGGCAAGCATTTACTAAACAGAAGAATGATGAATCCAAACATCCAGGAATCTTGGAAGGTCCCAGGATAGGAGCCAGATGCTGAAGACCTGCCAGGTAAATGAGCAAGCCATTATCCTCACCCTGGGGGGAAGTTATGGTCTTGTGGGAGAGAAAGTCTTATAAAACTATACATTATTATAATAATTATACATGGTAAGTACTGTTATTTCCAAGCTGGAATAACTCAGAGGACACACACAACTGGCCCTGCCTGAGAAAGTTAAGGATTCAACATAGAGTTGACCCTTGATCAGGTCTTAAAGAACTTGGAAATGGGGCCTAGGGAGTTGGAGAAGTGAGAGAGGGAATCTGGAGCAGGGGGAATCTAAGCCAGGCAAAGGCTCTAAGTTATGATAATACTCTAATCATGACAAGGCTCTAAGTCATGACAAGGCTGGGTGGGTCTGAAAAACAGCAAGGCACTTAGAATGACAGGTGGGGATGAGAAGTAAGCAACTGGAAGAACAGGATAAAGACTATTGATTAAATTCACTGCCAAGTTCAAAGTCTGGATTCTACCCTGCAGGAAATGGGAGAGCCACTACAGGAGAAAGGGCGTGTGTCACGATTAGCTTTTCTTCACTTATCTGCAGTTTGCAGAATATACTAAAATGAGAAGGAGACTAAAGACAGGAAGATCAATGAGGAGGCTGATAGAAGGATCTACATGAGATGATGGAGGGCTGAACTAAGTAGTTTCAGAATAGTAAGGACTTCCAGGGAAAGAAGAAAGGCTCAGAGCTCAGGAGCAATTGGTGCCTGGGAGAAGGAGATACAGAGTATCCTAAATCAGTCCAAAGATCTTCAGATATTCACTGGCATCCAGTGTGAATACTGGTGAAGACTGACATCCTATGATCAAAAAACGCTGCACAGGATGAATAGGACTTCGAAGGAGGGCTGGGTTGCCAGGTCAAGGACACAAGCAATAGCCCCAAGTCTTATAATGTGAAGAGGTCAAAATAGGAATCAATGAGCAGAAGAAACAAGCCTCTGCCAACATAGTTACTATGTATGAAATGCACAGTCTTAAAGCAAGCAGTTCCCCAACATGGAATCTGTTTTCATTTGTCAACAACTTAATTCCAACTAATTTATCTAGTATCTGGGAAGACAGGTCCCCAGTTACCAAAGTTCCCCACCTTCCAACTTCATTACAACTTTCCAATCTCTCTCTCTCTCTCTCTGGAAACACTGGATTTTTCAGAGCAACTTCCCCGTGTGACACCTAATCTCTAACATTTCTACCCACATGTCTTCAGTTCCTCGAGATAAGTGACAGTCTTGCACACCAATCCATTCAAAACCCTAATTAAGTTAGTTACTTGCCTAATCACTGACCTGAGTTCCAGTTTCTCCACCAGAGCCTTTATTTTATCCTACCTCTCCACTTAGCAGAGCATCTGGGGAACATGATACACAAAAGAAAAAACCTGCTGTAAGCAACATGTGAAGAATACCTCAAAGGCCTCCAAGATGTGGTCCCTTCAATGCATGAACTGCACGATGGACTACAACATGGCCTGGGAGGACAACAAGGGCAGCTGGTTTAAATTGCACCACACCTAACTGGACTATTGCAAAAACCTGATCTCTTCCCTTTCCCACCCATTCAGCCAGGCTTATCTTCTTCAAACAACACTTTCATTGGGTGATTTCTCTGTTCAAACCTTCAGTCAGCTTCCCCTGCCCTGGCTGCCAAAATCGGCCTGCCTTGTCTGTCCAGCAGGTTCCCAGTTCTAATCAGGCAGGTCTCTTTACAACCTAGACTTGATTATCATCCACCTCTATCCCTGGACTCCCCCGTCTCGAGGAATACCCCTCAGTTTTCCCCTTCTCTGTATTTTGTGGTTCTCAAATTGGAATTACCTGGGGAACTTAAAAAAATATTTCCATAGAGGGCAGGGAAAGAGGAAATAGAAACAGAAAGGTAGAAGGTGGTACCCTCCAAGATTCTGATTTAACTGCCTTGGTGTGAGGTCCCCGGGGTCCATGTTACATACTCTCCAGGTGTTACTAAATGACAGAGTTGAGGGTGGGTGTCCTAGCCATGTTCACACATTCTCCAAGGCTCAGTTCAAGAACCACCTGCGGTCCTCAAGGGTCTCCTTCTCCCCTTGGCTTTTTACAACACCAAGTACCTATCCCATACCACTTCCTGCTACATACAGCCTATTTTGCTGTGTCTGGTTCCAAACATGTTCTCATTCCATTTGTCTCTAGTTATATACATAAACCCTTAAATGAGATATGCTGAGATCAAGACTAGAAGTATTAAGGAATATTAGAACTGGCAGGGACTTCAAACAGCATCTAGACTAGTGGTTCTTAAACTTTTAGAAACCATAGATATCTTTTGAAAATCTTATAAAAAAGCTTGTAAACCTACTCCCCAGAAATAAGTACACAGAAAAAAATTCTGCATATAATTTCAGGAAAAGCCCTTTAAATGATCCCCTATTCAAGTACTCCTTATGAGACTATGAGCCATAAATCTTTTTCTAACATATAGATGTAGGGACCAGGAGGTAAATGATATTCCTGTAGCCAAAAATAGTGGCAGAGTTGGGGGTCTGGAACTCCAGTCTCTTAGGATTTCATTAAATTTCCTTTGCTTGGCACCTCCATTGACAGGCTCAAACCTGACAGCTGAAATCTGATGATCAACTGGACAAAACTGAACAACTAAAAAACTGTGCTTTGGATATGGCCAAGTTATCTGCACCCTCAGGTTTCTGAACTCACACTACTTAGACACTTATTGACAGCTCACTAGGCATAATACCTAATACTTTACAACAAATTAAAATTTCAACCTCTTCTCACTTTCATGATTTCTCAAGAGAAAATATATCCTCAAACCAAACTCACCCGCTTCTCCTGGAGAGCTGGACTGTCATCTCCAAGGACAAGACGAGAAGCACAGGTCCGGAACTCTGCCAGGCCCAGGATGGGCAGATACTCGTGGTTGAGGCTACTGTCATTAGCGATCTTCTGTTCCACTTTCCTCACTACTGGCAAAACCCAGGGCTGGCAATCATCTGTGCGATAAGCTGAGCACAGAAAAGAGATACAGACAGAGGAGTTTCAGGCTTCACTCAAGTCAGAATCTAAAACTGTGAACAGAATTCAGCACCTTCCAGTCAGAAGAGTGACCAAAACTGAAGTAAAGCACCTTCACTTGCTGAGTACCTGCTTTGGGCCAAGCCCTGGGCTAGATGCTGGGCAAATGGAAAGACAATCATGGTGGTTTTCCTTACAGAACTTACAAGTCTTGGAAATGTGTGTCTTCCAAAAAGTAGAATGATGAACTAAACTGGGACAACACAGAGCCTGATCAAGTGAGAAAGTGGAAGGGAAAAAGCACTTTGCAAAAAATGTCTTGGAAATGCTGTTCCTGTTGCCAGTGCACTGCGGTCTCTACAGACACTGGCCCAGCAATCTTCTTCCTTCTTCATATCCCTAAAAGAGTTTCAGGAAAGTACTCTTCACAAGAACTCTGCACCTTCAAACCTAAACATGGAGAAAGACAGGGTGGGAGAAGGCCTATCTCTTCCTCTTGTCTCAAAAAAGCAGAAACAGGATGGACAGTGAACAAATGCTCTGGACTGGAGTTTGATAACCAGTTACACAATCACCCAAGGACCCACTCAAACACATCTTTGTCCCCTCTCTGCATTTTGACAGCAGCCAGTGTTTACCATTTTGACTGTTTATCCACATCATCTGCCTCACCCTTCCATTGATCTAAACTTATCTATTTCACAATATTTAATCTTACTTTATAGGAAATGTCTAAACATTTCCTCCACAATGAAAGTTTTTTAGGGCACTTTGAGTTATCCTATCCACTGATTTTGACCCTACACTATTCTATGGATGTGCTGGGATTATAGCTTTAGGAGGCAGCTGTTCTAGCCTTGCACTCAAGCAAATCGACTGAGTAGAATTCCTGAGAGATCATTTGCCTCTCTGCTTGGATGTATATGTCTCCAACAATACTACACCTACATGGAAGGTGTAGTATTTGGAAAACTGAAACGTAATATATAACTATATAAATGTTTTTTCAGCACAGGGCATTGAAACCAAGAACACTTTACCACTGAGCTATAACCCCGACCCTTTATACTTTTTTGAGATAGGGTCTAAACTAAATTGCTTAGGCTAGCCTTCAGTCTCATGATCCTCCTGTCTCGGCCTCCTGAGTTGCTAGGATTACAGGAATGCACCACCTGGCTAAAATTTTAGAGTAATTCTGATCAAGTTTATCTTGATGATTTCTGTTCAACACTAATCCCTGACTTTTTAAAATATCACATTTTAGGTATTGTTAATATTTACTGAACAACACACGTTAATGGTAATAAATTTAGAAAAATCCAAAAGTAAAAAGCACTCAGACAAGGGGCATGCAAATGTGGTGTGAAACCATCCTGGGTTTTCCCCCCTATGGGTATATTCTTTTATAAAAATATGAATCCTACTGTACACAGGATTTTCCATACATTTTTCCATTTATATTTATATTATAAATATCTTTCACCAACTATTCTGAAAGGCGATATGCTTGCATACTCCCATGCCATCCTTCTTTCTCTTTTTGGGGGGAGAGGGGGTGTTACCGGGAATTGAACTCAGGGGCACTCAACCACTGAGCCACATCCCCAGCCCTATTTTGTATTTTATTTAGAGACAGGGTTGCTTAGTGCCTCGCTTTTTCTGAGACTGGCTTTGAACTTGCGCTCCTCCTGCCTCAGCCTCTTGAGCCACTGAGATTACAGGCATATTCTACCACGCCCAGCCCATCCTTCTTTTTCTCCTAGTTCCTCCCTCCATAAATAACAACTGTTGTCAGTTTCATATGTATCCTTCAGAATCTTCCTCCATATACACAAGCAAATACAGTTTCTTATATCTGTCTTTTTAAACAAAGGTAGTGTATAATATACTGTACACTGTTTTATTCATACTTTTTCCACCTAAAGGTCTTTTTTATATTTCGATTCTTTTTTATAGCTACTTAACTGATGAATCATATTTTATTTGCCAGTCTCTTGTTAAACATTGAGTTATAATTGTTGGCTATTAAAACAATACTTCAGTGAACAACCCTATAGGTATGCTATCTCACATGTATGCAAACCTATCTACAAGTTACAGGATTGAAAATGGAAGAGTTGGCTAAGAGGTAAGTATATTTGTAATTGGAACAGCTATTTCTGAATTATTCTCCATAGGAATATATCAGTTTGCATTCCTACCAGCAATACAAAAATGTGTCTGCTTCCCCACGGCCTCACCCACTGAGTGAAATTTTACCAGTATGAAAGTGCAAATGTATCTTATGAGTAATTTGCATTTTACTTATTATGAATGCAATTGTACATTTTTCATACATATAAGCCATTTACAACATATTTTAGTAGCAAGGTAATGTACTTTTCCATCATAATTAATCATGTTGCTTTTAATTATTTGCTATTATGAACATCATGGCGAATGCTGTTACTATGCATACTCATAAGTGGCTTCATAGGAAATATTGCTAAATGTAAAACTACTAGGTCAGAAGGTATACAACACATGAAAGACCTTGTGGGATCATTTTAATCTTGTGTCTGTCTTCTCTCAGCTAATCTACCCTCCAGAAATGTGACATCTGCAACTCTGGAAATATATCAAGCTAACAATAAAAACATGGGCAGAGCTCCAGACTGACACACCACTAAACAACCAAAGTCAGTCCCTGGGTTGATGAATCTAATTCACAATACTGTCGTACCACTCATATTTACCCTCAACCCACCAAACTAACTCCCTTGCCACAAGTTCCAATAGTCTCCTTCACCAGGTAGGATTTGAGCTGGTTTCTTTAAATCCATACCAAAACAACTACTTCGAGTAACAGCTGTCCTGAAGCAGATCGCCCTATCTGAACACAATGTTACCACTGTTCAAAGTATTCTGGGTGCTCTTTGGTGGAATTGTTTTTAGAGGCAGCATCTCAATACTGGCAACATCCTCAGCAGTGCCAAATCATTCTTTGAACACTGATTTAATTTTTGGAAGTGAAACTTGCATTATCTCCAGCATAGAGGGTGGGTGAACAAACTGCCTGATATAATGAAGAGATGGTTTCTCGTGGGAGTCTTACTGCTTCAAAGGCCATTTCAAAAGAGAATTTCCAGAAATCTTTAGCAATAGCTGCACATCTGGACTACCTAGAAAGGATATTATTTTGATGTACAAAATTTTAAATGTTCATAGAAAAACCAGTTCTATTATGATTAGGGTCTGTGTTTGGTTGTTTATACATTATGTAATACAATTATGCTATATGTTTTGGTAATAGTATTCATAAATAATATATTCTAAATAAATAAGATATGAAAGAGGAAGACCATAGTACTGCTGTTCTCAGCACTACTGTATACTCTGTGAAATCCTCAAGAAAACTCTAATACCATCTGAGGGTGGGGATGAGGGGAGAGGCATTGGTTCTGTACCGTGACAACAGACAAGTTGGCCAATTCAGTCCTCCCCATCCTTTGTCATTGCCCAGTTCCTCCCAGGTTCAGTTCTAGATGTGTTCCCAATGCCTCACCTAACTGCCCACCTCACCTAACTGCCCTAGGGAGGCAGAATCACAGATTCCTCTAGGGTGATTGGAGCAGGGAGGTCCAACACCTGTATTATATTATCAATAATCACTATTTTTCCTCTCCTGGGAGGTTCGTTCCTGTTGAACCCATGCATTTCTCATTCTTCCTTTCCTTTACTCATTCACTTGACAAAGAATTACTAAATCTACCATAAGCCAGACACATAAGGAAAAGCTACACAGAGATGGAAAAGATAAAATAAGGTACTGTCTGCCTTCCAAGAAGCACAGTACATTAAGTCTTTAATTCTTCTTTGAAGGGTCAGAGATGATTTTACAGAGGATGAGGTATGAAAGATGACAGATTAAAAGACAGGCAAAGGAAGAGGGGTATTCCCGACAGAGGGAACACCTGTGCAAGGTCCCAGAGGCTTGGAGAACACAGGGTTTTTGAGGTTGTGCATTTTCATGGCTTGGAAATAGTATCCATGGAGGAACAGCAGGGAGTGGCTCAAGGAGTCACTTCTAAGGAACTTCTCTCCATGGGGAAACCACTAAAGGCAGTGAAGCAAGACTGTGATGTGAACAGCTGTCTATTTTGACAGGATCACTTCAGTGACACCACAGAAAGCAAACTGAAGAGGACAGAGGCAGGTAGCTAAGTCAGAAGGCTCCTGCAACAATCCAGAAGGGGAATCATGAAGTCTTGAATTAAGGTAGAGGCAGAGGGGGACAAAGAGAAGGAAAGATATTCAAAACAGACTTATGAGGTAGAAAAATCAGAACCCGATGACCAAACAAATAAATGTGGAACTGGGGAAAGGGTTGCTAATGGTTCCAAAGTCCCCAGGTAGTCTGGATAACAAGTAGATAGTGGTGATAGAGTTAATGAAGATCTAGAACACAGAACACAGGGGAATAAAAAGAAAAGATGAAGGTCATTCAGAGAAAAGGGCTGGGATGGGAAGATACCATCATTATAGACACTGCCGTGGCTGAAGCCACAGTAATAGAACAAGGAATTCCGAATTACTTTCTACAGACTAGGCATGGTACTAATACTTTACATTTCTTGACTCTCATTTAATTCTTAAAATACCCCAAAAATATCTATTTGGCAAAAAAATTAATTTTCCCAAGATCATAAGGATAATAAAAATTAGACTGCAACAGTATCCAAGAAGCAAGAAGGCATACAAGAACTTTTTTTTTTTTTTTTTTAAGAGTAAGAGATGAAGCAAGCAGCCCCAGGGAACTGTATCAGGAATCTTCTTATCAACATTCTTCCCTGCTCCATGCACTAATGCCCTTCTTCCTGGCCTTTCAGAGGTTTCACACAGCTTTCACGTGGGCCTGGCAGTCTTGTTTTGCAGAAGGAAAGAAAAGAAGAACACAGAAAACTAAATGATCCAACTACCATCCTCATCCTCCTCCCAAGTTCTCCACTTCCCTCACCCATCCCCACCCAAGAGCCTATGCAAGTACACCTCCAAGACCCTTCTCCAACTAGGAAGGGACCAGGGATCCTCAGAAACACCTAAGATAGTACCTCTTTCCAGCAATTTTGTTTGAAGTACATCTTTCCAACAATTTTATTTGAAGATACTAAGACAACCACACTGAAAACAACAACTATTAAAGCAAACACAGTTTATCTGGGCCAAAAGGAAGCTAAATTTACATGAAAAAAATGTACTAGAGTCTTCAAAGAAATTTTCTGCTGCAGGCTGCATCAGGTTAGATCCTTGTCTCCCTACCCTTAAAGCTACTTCAGTCTTCAGTTTTGCAAAGCACTAAAATGATCCACTCAGAAAGTAAGCCTTGTGCTACAGTGGAAAATATGATACTCTGCTCTATTTAAGTATAAGGAAACTACTGAACTCATCACAGCAAGAAGAAACTCCCTGGGGAAACCATCTGCAAATAGGAACTAGCTAATGAGATTATAGTTGTACTTTATCAAAAATGCCCAACATTTCTAGAACCTCAGCTAAATAACCTTCGTTAGGTTTCATCTTAACTTGGAGGATGGGGAGCATCTTTCCCAAAGTCAGCAATTAATTACATTTCCTTCAAAAAGGATATACTTGGGGATGTGTGTAAGTAAAGCTGGGACATACCAAAGCTGGAAAGAGAACTTTATTCTACTCTATTTCAATTAGATCCTTATCTGAGCACCTACCATTCATAAAAAGATGGTTCACAGTAACGATTAAAAACATTTAGATATAACATCTTTCATTTACATATCAAATTTCACACCTAACCTCATTCATTTCCTTCTCAACTAACTGATGAGGTCACCAAAATTAACATCTTATAGTACAGTCACAGAATGTGTCAGTGGATCTTGGAGTAGACTTATGGTAGAGTTGAATCTTGAGAGTAAAATTTTAGAGACAGCTCATTCACTTCTGGCTTCTCATTTTACAGACTGAATTGGAAGGATGTTAAATAATCCTCCCAAGGTCATGTCACTGAACCACAGAGCTGGGCCTAGGTCTCCTGGCTTTTCCCACTATAGTCCACTGGCTGTCCCCAGACCATCTAAAGGAACCTAAATAGAGGACTGGGTCTAAGAGACCTGGCTGGAATTCCAGCTCTTCTACTTGTGGTCACATGACCTCAGGAAAATCTTTTCTTCTTTCTAGGCTTCAGCTTCCTTACTTCTAAAGAGTAAATGGTAAGAAGATGGCAGAATGAGATAGACATCATTACCCTCAGTACACTGTGACTGCACATATGGTGCAACGCTACATTGTGTACGACCAGAGAAAGGAAAAGTTGTGCTGCAATTGTGAACAATGAATCAAAATGCATTCTGCTTTCATATATACCTAATTAAAATAAATATTTTTTTTAAATGTAAAAAAAAAAAAAAAAGGAGTAATGGTTATAAACAACCTTCCAGGTTTGCTATGAGCATTAAATGAGATCACATGCATTACTCATTTGTTCACAGTTCCTGGGTTCCTGGAAAATAATAGATGAGGTGGCCATCTAAGCTAAAGATGGATTCCAAGCCAATCACTCCTGGCTGAACTGGGAGCTTTTTCTCTGCATAAGCAGTTTATTTCTGAACCAATGTCATATTTCATTTTTCAATTCTTGTGCTGAAAATATTTACTCAACATCTTTTATAAGATCCATTCAAAGAAATGCCAAAACAACAATAGTGAACATTTATATAACCTTCACTTCTGTGCCAGACATGGTTCTAAATACTTTAAACACATTTAATCTTCACAAAAACCCTGTAAAAAGGTCAAGGGTCATATGCTTTCTCTCATGTATGGAAGCTAGAGAGGAAAAAGAAAGGTGGGAAGGGGTGGGGAATCTCATGAAAATCAAAGGGAGATCAATAGAAGAAAGGGAGGAGGGTGGGAAGAGGGGAGGGAGAGGGAAAGTACGGAGAGTGATTGTGACCAAATGATATTGTTATAGTGTGTGCATGTACAAATATGTAAATGAATCCCATCATTATGTAAAACTATAATGCACTAGTAAAAAAAATGTGGAAAGGGGGGGAAAACTGTAAGATTGTTCAAAGGAGATTAAGATATTTAGATTAATACTAATCAATAAAGAAATACTGGTAGGTTCAGGATTAAAAGCTTGAATGGTACCCATTCAAATTTAATTTGAAACAATCTTGTACTATTTCTCCCAGTCTGAGGTCTGCTAAAAACATCACATTCCTTCTATGGGCAGACAATGCAGTATCGACTTTTTAAAAATGCTTTATTATGAAAGGTTTCAAACATATACAAAAGTTGAGAGAATATTCATGTATGCCATGTGCCTACCACCCAACTTCAAAAAACCATTACTTTTTAATGATTTTTCTACCCTCACCTCTCCTCCTTTACTTCTTGGTGAAGCTTTTGCTCTTTGGAGTTTTGTTGTTGTGTTTGTTTCGTTTTTAAACAAGCACTCTGTACAGACACAAATACTCTCTATGGGAAGCACAATTCTGAATATCCCTCTTGTCACCCTATACTACAAAATAATTTCAATTTTTCTTTCCAAAATTTCTAATCCTCTTATTCTAAGCCTATTTCCTCCCACAGGACATCAGCCTACTCATTTTCATATTCCTGGCTGGCCTTTTTATGTGGCAAAAAAACAAATCAAGAAAGTGTCTGTGGCACTTCAAACATACAAATGAGAATGATTGGAATAACAAATTCACCAGAAAAGGTTAGAGTTAAAAGGAATTTCAGAGGCTTTGAAATACAAATATTTTTCTTGACAGATGGGTAAACTGAGGCCAATGCTCTGAGTTGTTCAAGGCCCAAGAAATACAATAAAAAAATGAAGACAAGGGAAGGAAAGGTACTTGGGAATAAGAATGATCAAATTGGGCTGGGGATGTAGCTCAAGCGCGCTCGCCTGGCATGCATGCGGCCCGGGTTGGATCCTCAGCACCACATACCAACAAAGATGTTGTGTCCACCGAGAACTAAAAAATAAATATTAAAAATTCTCTCTCTCTCTCTCTCTCTCTCTCTCTCTCCTCTCTCACTCTCTCTTAAAAAAAAAAAAAGAATGATCAAATTATGTGTGTGTATGAATATGGCTATGTATAACTATAATACATTAATTAAAAACAAAAAGAAAAAAGAAATGAAGACAAGGATGTGTGGAAAGTAAGATCTACTCCACGGTATCTACCCATTCCTACCACATCTGTGAGGGTCAGAACCATCTTCCTAGATCCCTCCAGGCAGTATTAACACATCTCAGAAGCATTTCAGATCTCTGGTGTGCAACACTTGCTGATTTTGAAATCCTTGAAAACAAAACCAAGCCTCAGTCTTCCCCACAAAGTTTAATAGGGTATATTCAACACTTGGTGATCACTCAAATATTTACCAGACCAAAGCTCCCTAAGGCTAACAGTTCTCCTTTACACACTCCCCAGCTACTAGGACCCCAAGCCCCACCCCCTATTTTCCAAGCCTATTTTCCTCCCTCTCTTTACAATCCTTTGATGTAGTATAAAGAACACAGGATGGGGAATCAGAAAGAATGCATTTGTGTTCTGGCTACTATACCTATTTTGAATGACCTTGAACACATCTCCCATTTCCAGGGCCTCCATATCCCCATCTGTAAAATGGGCACGTTGAACGAAACTCTGTGATCCTGCCTCCTCTCCAGGGTGCCCCTCTCCAGGCAGTGTCCAGCCGGGCCTTAGACTCCAGGCCGGGATTGGGTCCGCTCCCACGCTGCTCACATTCCAGGGCACAGCATCCTTACCTCCTACTCCTAAATTGACCTTGCGGGGGTCTGGATCCTCCCGGAAGTCAGCCGTGAGCTTAAAGACAAGGACGGGCTGGGCCTGCGGAACCTCGGCAAAGACTGACGGAGGCGCCATGGATACAGAGCARGAATCTGCGGAGAGCCTTGACAGGGGACCTGGAGCTAGCTGCTCGGTTGGGGCTCGGTTCGGCGACTGGAGGAGACGCTCACCTTCACTAGCTGGCGGAGGCGGGCTCCCGGCCTCCAATAGTCGAGCCGCGTCCGGAGCTTGGCAACGCGAATAACCAATCACAAGCTCCTGACTAAACCAGAGAGGAAGGAGGGGGTGYTATTAGCCAATCCAAGAAGAGAATCTTATTGGAGGCCGGTAATGATGCAACCAATGCTATTTACGCTGACGGAGAAGGGGGGGGGACACTAGGGTTGATTGGCAGAGCGTGTTCCAATCACTGAGGCTTTTATTCCTTGGGGGCTGAGAGGAGGAACCCAACGGCCGCAGTCCCCACGGGGCATCCTCCTTGACCTTCCAGGACCAGAAGACGAGGGGGAGGTGGCCAGCGGGAAATCCAAAGGACGGGTCCTTCTGTTCCCGCTGAGGAGATGTTGTCACTGCCAGGCCTGGCTGCGCGCACGTTCCTGACCCGACCGGGCCGGGCTGGCAGCCAAATCCCCGGCGTTTGTACGTGGGATGGGCGTCTACAGCCTAGACGTGCAGCTCGGGAGGCCACGCGGGCGACCTTGACCGTCCCYGCCGGGTGTTTCCCCCAGAAAGAAATGTGGATGTGCTCCCTGCCTTGGTTGCTGACAGGAAGATCTTTCTAAAAATGGGCGATGATCACGAATCCCTTTCTACCGCTCTTCTAGTTTGAGAATTTTGCTCCGCAGTTCCTTACAAAGAGGGTCTTGGTCCTCAAGGGACCTTCAGGARCCCTAAGGAAGGGGCTGGAGTCCTGGCTCAGCGGCAGAGGGCTTGCCTAGGACACGTGAGGCACTGGGTTCCATCCTCAGCTGTGTTCATCTACAACTAAAAAAAATGTTTCCAAAAAAACCCTCCCTCGGCAGCTGTCTTCCCACTCATGCACTGGGCCAGATATTGCTGTCATTTTTAAGGCTAATCCTTTCCCTGAGAGTCTTTCCACGCCAGTCTCCTTCTGCACCTATTGTGTGACCTTGAAGACCAACACCAAATGTCAAGCCTCCCCTTAACCCTMATTCTAGTCAAAATTGTTTTCCTGTGCTTCTGTGCTTTGTTAGCCATATTACAATTTTAGGAAATATCCTTATGGTGAGGAACCTGGCTCCAGAGCCAGACTACCTGAGTTTGCATTCTGGTTATCTCTTACTAACTCAAGCAAGTTTAGGCAAGTTATTTAACCTCTTTGTTCCAGCTGTGTGAAGTGGAAATAATAATATTTTCCTCAGGGTTGTTGTGGGAATTATGTGAGTTAATACACATTAAGTGTTTAGTTGCATATAATAAGCACCCTACAAATGTTAACTATTGTTATTGCACATCTGCCTCACCCCATGTAGATGCTTTTTGGCCAGGGATTTAACCTGTATAAGTCCCCCCTCCGTTTCTTGTACTTACTAACAACAAATGCTGGAGTTAGTTCTCTTGTTGTCTCTGAAGAAAATGTTATAGACTCTAATCATCAGATAATATGATAAATCTTAAAATGAGTTTTCCATTCAAAATATAAGCCAAAGTACTTAGTGTAACACCTGCTGACCTTTTGTATCATCTACTTCTTTTTTGGAAACTTTGCCTCTGGTTCTAAAGGTAACTGCCCTCGGTGTTTCATTAATAACAGTTTCCTCCACAGATTGCAAGGTAGCACTGAAGGTCAAATGATAATGAACTTTTGATGCCTCCAAAGGCAGAGGCAGAGGGCAACTGCTGAGAGGGGTGTTCCACAACCTTGCCCTCCCAGAATTTGATTTATAAGTATGATCTTCACAGTATTGGCCAACAATATCCTGGTCACTCTCTGCGTCATTCCCAGCAAGAAAAACAAGCCTAGCTTGCCTAAATATTATCAGTTGTGATAAGACTAAATAAAACTTATTGACAGAGTAATCAGCTCCATAATCAAGCCAATGCTGATAGGGACAAAGTGTCATATGAAGTGTTTTTGGTTTTGTTTTTTTTTTTTCATGTCCCCATAATATCCACTCTGAATTTTAGAAAGGACAGTAACTGAGGATGGGTAGGGACAAGGAGAGAATCCTATATATCATATGGGATCCAAGTCTCCAACTCTTTTCCTCAGGAATGAAAGGATTTTAGAGATTAAGTTTAGTACTGTTCTGTCTTGAGCTCTTAAGTCTGTCCCCTTAAGTAAAATACCAATCTTGAAATAAACAAAATGCCTTCTAGGTCATGGCTAAATTTAACACTTAGAATTGACTCAACACTGCCTCCTTGCTGAAACAAAAGACTCACAGAGTCTAATACCACACAATCAGGTAGGCAGCCTGGCAAAGTGGCTAGGGAATGGGCAGTAAGGGTCAGAAGAGAAAGGGGCTGGCATTCTCATTGCTTCCTGACTTCCTTAAAACGATCTTTTCAAGCATTCTGCCTACTATATTCCTTCTGACTTGTTTCCCTCTTCTCACAAGAACTGGAAAACAGGAACTAAGAGCCCACACAGCAATAGCTGTATCTGTAATGAATTTCTTTAGATATACACTCTTGGAAATCTGAAACCTTCAGGGCTGTTCCAGAACATAAGAGGCAGCTCAGCAGTGGGCACTGCATGGTCCTCTAAGCAAATTCATACCAGCTTATTTTACTCAGTCTTGCCCCTACAAATACCCAGGAGGTCTACTAAACTTAAGAACAAGTCAGGAGAGGGAGGAGTTTACACTTTTTGCACTCAAGTACATAATGCTTTGGGGATGGTTATATTTGGGCCTATGCTGTCACTAAGGGTAGGGTATTATTTGGAAACTGAGTTGTAGGCTGAACAAATATTTCTTTTAAAAAACAAAGTTTTTTATGGGTATGGTGGTACATGTCTCTAATCCCAGCTACTCAGGAAACTGAAGCAGGAGGATCAAAAATTGGAGGTTAGCCTTGGTAATTTAGAGAGACCCTGTCTAAAAATAAAAATAATTATTTCTCCATTTTTGTAGAATTTTCTTTTTAATCCTATGGACAAAACACTTTTCTTTACTGAATTCTTTTAATTCTGGAGAAAAATAGGTATTTTTCAACAAAAATCTTTGTAATATAATTGATAAATGACTGTCAATTTCTAAAAAAAAGGGGGGGGCTGGGGATGTAGCTCAGTGGTAGAATGCTTGTCTTGCATGTGTGATATCCTGGGTTCAAGTTCAGTTCTGGGGAAAAAAATACTATAAAAGATCTGTTCAAGGGGCTGGGGTTGTGGCTCAGTGGTAAAGCGTTTGCCTAGCATATGTGAGGCACTGGGTTCAATTCTCAGCACTGCATATAAATAAATTAATTAAATAAAGGCCCATCAACAACTAAAAATACATATACAATTTTTTTTAAAAAAGAAAGAAATCCACTCAAGCGTTGTAGTGTGGCCAGGTGTGGTGGTACATGCCTTTAATCCCACTGGCTCAGGAGGCTAAGGCAGTAGGACGCAAAGTTCAAAGCCAGCCTTAGCATCTTAGCAAGGCTCTAAGCAACTCAGTGAGACCCCATCTCTATATAAGATATAACAAAAGGGCTAGGATGTAACTCAGTGGTTAAGTGCCCCTGGATTCAATCCCTGGTACCAAAAGGAAAGAAAAGAAAAGAGTCATAGTGTGGCTAAATAATGGGCGGTAAGAGCCCCACTCAGGAGTTATTTTTCTCCCACTGTAATAAGGATTATCTTGATGATGAACTTGTTTGATGACCAACCTCTATGCCAAAATTAACTAGCTTATATCCTGGTTGAGTCTCGATGAAATCCTATCTCCTTGATTCTCTACCTCCCTCCCTTATGTATGACCCCTTTCCCTATCTACACACATGGAACTGGACCAAGCGAGGATTCTTGCTTCCTGTCTCATAGAAAGGCATATCTGAGTCCTGGAATGGACGAAGTCTAAGGTTAGTTCTTAAACTGGGAACCCACCTATGCATGACTTTATTTAAAGTTACTGAGCTGGGCATGGTGATGTGTGCCTATAAATTCCCAGCTACTGGGGAGCCTGAAGCAGGAGGATCACGAGATTAAAGGCCAGCCTCAACAACTTAGTGACACCTTGTCTCAAAATAAAAAGAACCAGGGATTTAAATCAGTGGTAAAGCGTCTCTGGGTTCACATTTCCTAAGGATGGGTGGCAGGGGGAGGTGCTGAGATTTTTAACAGATATCAACAGGATTCCGAACTTTTGATGGTTTCACCTAAGTGTTGATTGCAATGAATTTCCAGGGCATCATTTAGAAAGTGTTGTGCTGTAGAGTTTTTGTACTTTACTTTAGAAACAGTATAGCATAATGGTTAAAAGCATGGCCTCTGGAACTGAATTTCTTCTGTATGCCTCAGTTTCCTCATCTATAACATGAAGATAATAATTCTACACCATGGTTTTGTCATGAAGATTAAGTGAATTCATATAATTAAATGATTTCATGTAAAACTCTTTAAACTATATCTGATACTTAATAAAACTTCAATAAGTATTTGAGCTTCCCACTTCTCCTCCTCCTCCTCCTCTTCCTCCTTATCCTCATCATCATCATGAATATTGTTTCCAAGCACTTGGCTTTGATACTTATTTATTTTTTTAAATGAATGATAAGCCACATAGTGTTGGGCCTGAAATAAAATTGTAACTTTGCTTCTTACTAGTTTTGAAACTCTGAGTAAATTACTTATATGTCAGTTTTGGTATTCCTACCTGTAAATTGTAATACATATATGTGTTATATATATATATATATATATATATATATATATATATGTAATATACATGTATATATGCATATATATATAAATACATGTTTATATGTATATATGTGTGTGTATAATACACATGTATATGTAGACAGGGGGATATACACATAGTTGTAGAAACTACGATTATTGTCACAGATATTACATTTACTGCCTAACTGTGGTGTAATAGGCTAACTCTCTTTGAAATCTATCTGATCTGGCCTCTTTCAGTCATGCGCTTCAAAATATTTTTTAAATGAAAAAGAAAGCAGATAAGACAATTTTTAAAGTATCTAAAATCCTAAAAAAAAAAGAAAAGAAAAACTTTG